CAGAGCTGAGCTGAGCTAAACTGTCCAAAACGATACAAATCCACCCTGCAAGACTTCGCTATTGGTGCAGGTGGTTCGTTACAAAGATCTTACAAGTGGAACTATTTGTGTTTGCTTACCTTCATTTTCTTCCCGCGGTTGTCCCTTTGAATAGCTCGTTGATACGCGCCTCTATGTCCTCAACTCCATACTTGATGTACCTGTCTGCGTTTTTCCCAATGTCTCCAAGGTTCTGAAATCTCCCTATGAAGTTCCCGTATGCAGGTAACAACAGCCTGGCCAGTGAGATTTTTAGCTCCTCTCTCAGCTGCTCGTCAAACACAACCCACGTGGAGTGGGTTTTACATATCTCATCAAACTGCATATTGAACTGTTTCAGCTTATCCTTCATGGATTTCCCTAACCCGTTCATGCCTGCCACTGTATTGTCCACCTTCAGCAACCCCAGCATCTTGTTCCATGAGCTTCTCTGATAACTCATATGGTATTGTCTTACTTTGGCGTTGTGTTTGCGGATCCAATCCTCTCCTAAGAGCAATCCTAAGTCCCCATCTTTCACCTTCTGAACAATGTATCTCCCATTGTTCATCAGAAACACAGAGCACAACGCTGGATCTTTGTAAACTTTGGATTTAACTTCCAGATTACTCTCTAAAAGCTCCATGATCCAAGACATCTGTACAGTCAACAGAGTTGAATCTTTACATGGCACACCATTGCTTTCTTCAAACACTTGCTCTAAGGTTTGCCGGGATCTGCAGGCCGCACGTAGATAATTCATCACATAACGAGTGATTGGGTGGAGACCACCGCCTGGAACAGCAGCTTTAGCCGGGTCTCGCCGGATCAAATTCTCAAGCTCCATGAAAATACCTCTTATGGCCTCTCCCAATCGTTTCCAAATGGTCACTGCTTCATTTCTAAGAACTAAGCAAAACTGGTCTGAGAACACAGACTCGAATTCCGGCATCAAATCCCTCATTGTCTCAAACACATCTAGCACTTTAAACAACCTCTCAGGCGATCGGCTTCCTATGGCAATGGCATCTGCGAAATTTAGAAGTTGAATGGTAGACCCACGACATACCTCCATGAATGATAGATCAGCAGCTGAAGAGAAACCGAAGAAGACACGGTCACAGAGACGTCTTTCGCTCGGAAAGAGGATGCGAAGAGCGACATTAGCGGCTTTGATCCACCGATCTATCTCATCCTCTAGCTCCTGCCACGGCATCTTATGAACTTCTTCAATACTCAGCTTCTGTAACCCTAACCTCGACATGCTTTCTTCCAGAAACTCCCTCCTGCAAGCACTGTAAACGTGAGAACACGCCTTACCAAATCCAGCTCCCACCATCCGTTTAGCCATCTCGTGCAGATCGTTGATTGTCGCCGACGGGAGAGCGTCGATGATAAGGTCGTAGTCGGTGAGCGGTTGCGCCACTGGGATCTGGATATCGTCACCGTTCTGGAAGTCTCTATCGTAATCATCCTCTTCATCGGAATCGAATCGATGGTTCATCGCAGAAGCGTCTCCCTGAGGATTAAGACCGAACGACTCAGCGCCACGCTCCATAAGCGACCTAAACTCTTCCTCGATTCGGAACATAGCTTGCTGCATCATGTCGTCGGCGCGTGTGAGGCAAACGCCGATTGGCTTCTCGGAGGCCATGGGACTCCACTCCCTGATTATACCGACGAGCTCGTCGATCGTGTCGAGGAAAGCAGCAGAATCGGCAGGATCAGCCCAAATTGGCTGATCTGCAGCTACAAAGCGGGAGATCTGACCGTCTATTGAATTTAGAGCTCGGTCGAGTACGGCGACTCCGGCGGATCCATCTTCTCCAGCTTGACCTTCGGCAAGCTTCTCGCGTGAAAATCTGCCGTCGAAGTTGGAGAAGATCTGTAAGATATCATCGGCCATGGATTCATTGTGGCCAAGCGTCTTGGCTATATGACGCGCTACAGCGAGTAACTTCTCTTCACCGTTCTCCGCCATTGTTGAAGGTGGAATCAGTAGAGAGAGAGAGATAGGTTTCTATGATCTCGAGTCAGTAAATAAAAAAAAGGGTCACAGAGCGAGATCGACGGGGAAAGCAAGGAATCGAAGACGAAGAAAGTTCCAAGCAAGGAAGGAAGACTGGAATGGATAGAAAGTTCTTGAAATGACGAAAATACCCTCCAAGACAGACGTGATCTTTGACCTGGCCGCGTTGTTTGAAAATGGCATGGGCATGTAATTTCAAACAGTTTTTACTTTTTGCTGTCTTTTTTTGTGTGGACTCTTCTTCGCTTTCGTTGATATTTGACGTCTCCGTGACTTTTCTGTCACTGGTATCGCTTCTTATTGTTTCTAACCGGGCAAGGGATAAACCGGCCGGTTTATGAAGTAAAATTGACGGAGGTGTCGGAAGATTGATTTGGCCGGTTTATCAACTAAGATTATCTCTT